TGATGCATTAATGTGCACTAAAACTGAACTTTAAACCAAAGACAAACTAAAACCTGGTACAAGTGAAGTGTGAGGCAGTTTTTCAAATATGCGCTTGTTGAATTAAGCATTGTTGGCATTCATTTTGACATGTTAAGTTTGCAACTTTATTACAGGCCCTTACACTGCATGACCTTTTGTTTTTGTGTACTATAAGTACTAATATATGATGAATCTGTCTTCATTAAGAATTTTACCTCAGACTTTCTAGTTAGTTTGTTTCTAATGGCCATACAGCAGCCTGAATGCAACAGGAGTATTGAAGCAGCTGTTTTCTGTCTTTACTCTTATTTGATGAGCACTACAGTTTATGCCCATGAAAAACCACGTGTTACCATAAAAAGTTACACTTTTTGTTTTGCATCAGCTGCAAAACTGTCATTGTTAACAAGGCCTTATGGAGAGATTCAGATCTGGCTTTGTTGTCAAAATTGTGAAATATGATTTTATGGACAGACATTACTGACAGATATTTGTACATGTAATTTTCAATAAAAGACAATAATATGATTATCAGGTCATAGCCTTTTTACTAAATGTCAAAAACATTCTATAATATCAGTTACCTGCTGAAAAGAGCCTTTCAGACTCGTATGGACTTTCGGTCCTATTCCTGGTTGTTCATATACACTGGAAAAACTGGTTTGACAGAGAGTGTGCTTGTATGTGTTGTCTTGGTTTTGCGTATTCAAATGTAAAGTAAAATAATTTTCTAATGCTGCCAGTTGCTCAGAATGTACACATACAACACACCCATATATTTTATTTGAGATAAGACATGTTACAGAAAAATATATGACTTAAACTTGTAAATGTGTATTTAATAAATACTGTAAGTTCATAAACACAAAGAAACTATTATGCACAGCATCAGCAGGTGCACTAAGGTTTGCTTTAAGCATTCAGTTTTCACCATTTGTTTTATCTTCAAATAGTTTTAAATATGTTTAATTCATCTAACTCTACAGTCTCTGAAAGTAATACTATAAAAAAATGTGTGTTGTTATATCAACTGTTTATATCAAATGTTTTTATATGCTTGAAAGAATAAATCAAATCAAATCAAATATACAGTATACTGTATATTCTCTATAGAGTGAAAAAAAGATGGGCAGGGCTGGAAAATTCATATTAGACATGACCAACAGGCAGACCTTCACTCCTGACAAACTGTGTCAATTTAATCAGTACTATTGATCAGCTACATGAGATCATGAAAAAAGTTTGTTTCTCTAAAATTAAGTCATCAGTCTGCTCCTGTACCAGCTTCCACCAATTCCCAAATGAATACTCTGAAGTGGTTACTTAATTGCATGTGAATGCAGTGATTGTTGGTTATGTTAGCAGCACGGTTCTACAGAGGATGGATAGAAGGTTGACCTGGTCAATCCAACACACTCAAAGTGGACTTAAAATCAAATCTGAAGCAACCAAAAATGGCTTTAGATTAAAAAAAGTGTGGTCTACGATTTATGTGAAATCTTAAACTACAAAGTGCAGGATTCTTATTCATTATTAAGTAGCCTGTTTGGTGAATTTGGAGTTGATAATAATGAATTAAAGGACAATAAACAAACATAACTCTGGTCTTTTATTAAACACTTTTCATTTTTATGCAATCATTTGTGTGAGGGACACTTTAGTGCTTATCCACAAGATGAAATGCACTTGTAGAAATCTTTACAATATGAACAACAAGCACATTTTTCAGATACCAATTCTACTTCATTATGCTTATGCATCTAATGCAGATGTTAAATATGAAACTGAAATATGTAATCATGAATATTAATTTCAACTCTTAAATTATCAGTGATTCAGTTTCACATTTTGGATAATACTGTTTTGTACATTTGCTGGTGTGATGCCACCTGTAAAATGTCATGCACTATGCTATTGTTGTCGTTTCTTATACAGGTACACGACACCAGATATGTAGCCGTCCTCCTGGTTTGACACCGCTTTCTCCCAGTTCTCCACCTCAGTGGCCTCTATACAATTCCAGAGCCCCTCTTCCTCCATCTGCTTCAGCTCACGCTCCAGGTCAGCTTTGTAGTCCAGATTGTCATGGTTACTTCTGGTTGTCATACAAACGTAGCCACCTAGTGGAAACAGGCGATAATGCAGTGGTTTTGTTTAGTGAATAAAAGTCACCTGCTGTACAGTGAGGAGATTCTGATCGACAACCAAAAATCAGAACTGCAGTTCTGACAGCATCAATCCAACCTGGTTTTGTGGATCTGCACAACTCTCTGACCACAGTGATCGGGACATGACCAACACTCAGTGCTCCGGTAATCACAACCACATCAAACGAATCTGCAGAAAGAGATGAAGAGAACACTGAAAAGTTTCAGTTAAAATGAAAGTCACTTTTCCAAAAGCAATGCCTACTCATACTGCTAATATTGATGATAATACTAATGACTGACAATATTTAATAGCCACAATATCAAGACTTGTTTTCAAAATAGGTTCATAAAGTTGATCACGGAAGGATTTGCAAGATTGACAATAAAACAACCAAAACTTTAAAGTAGGTAACAACTCATCAACAGAAACTAATGTAAATAGATAATAAAATATATCTGAACACAAATACAGAATAAACCACCAAGTCTGAGGATTATGTACTGAATCACAGCAATCAATCTAGGTGAAGTAATGGAGCACTGCAGTACCCCACTGGGCAGGTAGTGGCTCCTCTCCCATCATGCACTGCTTCAGCTCCTGGTACAACCCACTCTCTCTGGCCACCTTCAACATAGCCTCACTTCCATCAATACCCACGAAATGTCCAAATCCATGACTCTTCATCTGTACAGCAGAGAAATGTTTGGTTGTTAATTGGTCATATTGGTTAAATCAGATGTGTAAATTGAAATCTGCAGGACCAAGAAAGAAAAATCCTGAAAGGTTTTGATCCAAACAAATCACTTTGAACAAAAAATAATTATCTATTTGGTGGGTTTACCTGTTTGGCCGCCAGTCCAGTACCACAGGCCACATCCAGCACGACAGCTGTGTCACGATCACCACTGAAATGGGAGGAAATGCTATTTGCCGCCAGACTTGGGGCACGGTACTCCAGAACAACCACATCCTATTCAGACAAGTTTTACAGAAAGAAAAGTAGCTTTTAGCACAGGCAAAGACAGCAAACATCAACAAGCTTAAATCACAAGTGTAGACAAATACAATGTGCTCAAGCTAAGCTAATCAGCTTTGTATGAGGGTGTCCTGACAATGTTTGAGGTTTTTTTTTTTTGCAAGTTAAAGTAGCTCTAACCCTCACCTCCTCCATTCTCACTTCACTGACTGGACATCAAGTTAACATACTATTTCCAACCTATACTTTCAAACATTTTAATGAAGTGTTAAATAAAATGTGTTGCACTTGTTGGTTGCTTTGCTTTCACTCTTAATCTGGAAAGCCTGGACACTGTCCTGCCATTCCTGAAGCCTGCTGTCTTGTTCTTTTCTTCTACACAGCCTGGATTTGTTTTTGTTTTATTTGGCTCATTATCCTGCTATAGGATGAAATCCTGAAAGGTCCGACTTCCACGGTTAATGCCTTTCTCAAAAAAAAAGCTTCAGAATTTGAAGTAACAGTAAGTTAATTTTATGTAATACATAAAACTGACTTTTTTTTTTTTTTTTTTAACTTCTGAAAGTTTAT